AGAGTAGTTATTTATAATATATGTGATGGTTATGCAAATGATGAAAATAAATAATAATTAATCTGTTTATAATTATTATAAAATACTAGTCACTTGGCTTCCCACGGGTGATTTCTGAATCTCGACAACAGCGTCACCTATACATGTGAAAATAAACATTCAAACACACAAATGTTTTTATCAAAATTGGTTGGATGGTTACAAGGTCTTAGAACATAGGTGAAAACATTTTTTGTGTTTTATATAGGTAGATAGATTCTCTTAAACCATGGGTAAATTACGTAAACCGATAAAATGTTAAGATGCTTTTATTTAATTACTGTTAACGCTTTTTACATATTTTAAACGAATTCCACATTAATACCCACAAATGCATGCAAATACCTAGCGTATTATTGCAAATTACAGTAGTTTATAATAATTAGACTTAGTTTTAAAAAGTCGATATATTTCCTTTTGCGGTTGCGCGTGTAATGCTTCATATGATAATTGATAAATTTAAGTTTCAAAATATATGACGTGTACAACTTGTGTTTTGAAAGAGATAGTAGTTATAATAAATTTATTTAATAGTATGATGAAGTTGAATGGTTCTTTTTTTAATTTAAAATCCGGGTTTTGCACAACAAGCATCCCGCAACAAGGTCCCGTGCCTGTCACAGTGACCGACTGAAGTCGGCCACAGTGGAGCGTGTAGCCTGCTTTACTACTATATGTCAGAGGTGTCAGGGACAAGGTTTGCTACATCTTAAGATACTTAAGTCGAGCTTCGATTAGAACATTCTACAAGCCGCCGAAGATTAGTCAGTTCTTTACATCCGTTAAGTGTTATATCATCCTATAATATGCAGGAGCATATTGCTAGATTTAGAATGTGATCTCTCTTATATAGGGCAAACAAAAAGATCAATAAAAACCCGCGTAAAAGAATTCTCCGCTCCGAAGCATGGAACGTGAAAAGTCTGCAGTTTGTGATCATATCCTAGACGGCCTCAGCCATTATAATAAATTTGATAGACCACAAATCCTTGCGAATGAATATTGATACCTACCAAGGACGTGAGGCTATTGAAATTAAAATATACCCTACTTCCATTGAGAGGGAAACTGGGTACCACCACCTGCTTGGGACCCTGTAATTAATAAAATTAAAAATAAACCCAAACTTTCCACTGCTAACCTCAAGACACAGTAAGCTCATTCTACGTAGATCGGACGTAATAATAATTAAAAAGCTGGAGGTACTCCGGGTTAACCTTGACATCGGGATGTCAATCTCTTCAAAGCACCCGAAACGTCGCAAATTATAAATAAATAAACTCGATTAAACCCGTAAAAGTAGTTTTAATTTGTATACCAAATTGTTTTCTTACGCTAGTTTTATTTATGGAAAGACATAAACTAAATATTTATGTAAATAGAGCCGTGGCAGATATTTTTAATATCGTTTGCTTGATATTGCACGTAACAATTTGATTATACGCGCGAGCAAGTCAGGAGTTCAACCTCTGCCATTATCGCGATTTTAAATAATCTTGTAAAAAACAACATTATTATCTTAGTTTGTTTGAAGAAAGACACCGGAGGAACGTGTCATAATCTTGTCCTGACATGTAAAATTAAACTAAATAGGTAAATCTAACACAAATTTAATGCATCGCTTTGGTAAAATTTTCTAGATTTCAAATATAATTGACATAGTTCAAACCAAACTTCAGTTTGTAATTGAGTATAACGAAAATGTAAATGGCGATATATCTGTTATACTAGTAAGTATATCTGAAATGTTTATAATTACCCCAAAATGGATGTACTTATAATAAAAAAAATTGTAGTACGTTCAGAGACCATATTTTTTTAGAGATCTGATTAATTTTAAAAAGTTATAAATGTTTATGGTATAAGGCTGACAAACGAGCACACAGTCCACTTGATGCTAAGTACATGCTGTGGCCCATAGACATCCACATTTATCTTCAATTAAAATCGAAATGCAGATGCGTTGCCAGCCCTGAGGACTGAGATGAAATATCTCCGGTTCTACTATACTACAAATATAACTGCAGCATGGCCCTACCACGTAAAAAAATTCTTCGGCATTTATTCTAATTTCGTGCTTCTTCTGCCACACCCAACTTCACTACCGCTACATTAAACTTTCAATACATTAACTCTTCAATCCCTTTAAAAATCCCATGCAGTCGCATGCGCCCGCCAAATCCCGAGCGGTCGCATGCGACCGCACTCACCCACAGCACTTAAAAACTTATATTTAGAGACTACTTTTCTATGAAGAAGTTTTTCATTATAAAATCTATACAAAATTTTCTATCCTGTGGTCTAAACAAAAGTCAGGTTTTACTTCATTACAAAAAGATTTTATTGTATTTTGATAACAAAAAAACCAAGCGGGTGTCGGCAGCGTGAAAATCACAATTATTTCAATATATATTAATCGAAATTATTTACGTAAAAAGATAAATTATATTCACACAAAAACTTTCATTACAACTTTATATTAAAACACTAGAAAAACACAATAACATTCACACGAAAATGGAGTATTTTAATTATTTATTAAGGACAGCCAACAAATCTTACACCAAAAACATTAAATTCTTAAGCTATTATCTAATATTTAAGCTGAGTGCAGATTCAATTACAGACTGCCACGACATGCAAATGTGAGTGTTTAATGCTTATTTAAAAAGTAATTTTTATTACTTTTTAAATATTACTTATTACGTATTATATTTTTATAACAAAAATATTTATAGTATATAGACTAACTGACTTTTTATCCAACTAGAGTACAGAAAATTTCATATTGATTATATAATGCCAAACTTCTTCATAGAAAAGTAGTATCTAAATGTAAGTATTTATGGGTTAAAGTGCTCTGGGTGGGTGCTATCACATATGACCTCATGAATTTTGACGGAATATCGAAGCGGTCAAATTTGGACGCTTGCCGTTTGACAGGTTAAAGTAGGGATTAACACAGCATTATGAATTACCATACGTACCTTTTTTGACGCATTCTGATTATTCGTAATAGAGTGTCCCATTCACTCTTATTTCCTGCATTCACTCGTCGTTCTATATCCTTATCATATCTACCGTCCCTGCTTAATACACATCCCAAATACACGAACTCATCCACTTGCTCATCAATAAAAACATTTTTTAATTAATATTCTAAAAAGACGGTTCGGACTAGCGTTTTTCTTTTCTGTTAATTGCCTACACTAGTTGACAAATTCCATTTTACACGACTCTCGAGGTCCAAATAGGAGGCCTTGCCATTCTTCTAATGTTTATGCTTATCTCGATCGGACATACGAGGGTGGATTGAAAAGTACTCGGCCTAACATAGATCCATTCAATTCTAAAAATCAAATCTACGCACATTATTTAGATCAGTTCCGACTAGTTCATTGTGTGAAGTTCGAAACGTGTGCGATAATTAGTTGTGATTTTATAAATTTATTAACAAAGTAATCGGACATAATTTCCGCAAATGGAGCAAATCGAGCAGCGTGCCGTCATTAAGTACCTCCGTAAGAAGGGCTATCATCAAAAGCCATCCATGATGACATGGTCAGTACATTAGGCGATTGTGCTCTGTCATATTCATCCGTCAAAAAATAGATAGCAGAATTTAAGCGTGGTAGAGAGAGTGTGAAAGATGAACCCCGCTCTGGAAGGCCTTCGACGTCAACTACTGACGAAAATATTAAAAAAGCACTTGATTTAATAATGAGAAACCGCAGATTAAAAATTAGAGAGATAGCCGAGATCATAGGCATCTCTTATGAACGAACTCAAAACATCATTGTCAACGAGTTGGGTTTCCACAAGGTGTCTGCGAGGTGGGTTCCGCGACTGCTTTCAGTTGAACAAAAAAGGACGCGATTGACTATTTCACGCGACTGTTTGGAGTTATTTGAAGCCGATGCAGATGATTTTTTGAATCGTTTTGTTACTATAGACGAAACATGGGTTCATTAGTGTACACCGGAAACAAAACAACAATCAAAACAGGGGAGAAGACCTGGTTCACCACCCCCTAAAAAAGGCTAAGTCGATTTTGTCGGCAAATAAGGTGATGGCTTCAGTATTCTGGGACTCGAAAGGTGTGATTATGATTGATTATCTTGAAAGGGGTCAGACTATAAACTCTGATTACTACTGCACCTTACTACGTCGTTTACGAGAGGAAATAAAAGAAAAACGTCGAGGAATGCTCAGAAGAAAAGTCCTGTTTCATCAAGATAACGCCCGTGTTCACACGTCAGTACAGTCAATGGCTGAAATTCACAACTGTGGCTTTGAACTGTTACCGCATCCGCCGTATTCACCTGATCTGGCACCATCAGACTTCTTTCTGTTCCCTAACCTAAAAAAGCACTTGGGAGGTCAAAGATTTTCGACAAACGACGAGGTCAAAGCAGCTGTAGACGCATATTTTGACTCTAAGGAAGAATCTTTTTTTTCAACGGTCTAAATGCTTGGAAGGGGAGGTGGCAAAAGTGTATTGAACTTGATGGTGATTATGTAGAAAAATAAAAATATAACTGATTTAGTATGTGTTTATTTTCTTGGTTAGGCCGAGTACTTTTCAATCCACCCTCGTATGTTTACAATATTTCATTCTAGCATTAAACTGCCCTCATCTTATCTATTACTGATACGTCTTATCAGTGCTTAAAACATTTATTATCAAAAATAAATGAAAATATTTTTAAAACTTAATTCGCATTACATAACCGATTGCTATGTAATACATGACTCTAAGCTAATACAAACATCCTTACTCTTCTCAGAAATCAGCATTTTATAAAATTAACATAAAATTGACATTTGTTTTAAAAAACAAAGAGTAATTTAGTGAGATGTTCATCTCGCGTGGCCAACAATTACATTTTAAATTTATGTGTTCTATTATCAATGTTATGTTTTAAACGACAAACATGTATAAATATTCTTTTTTTCCACAGGGCCTTCGCGCCGTGTAAAGCGACTTAAAAAAAATATACAAGATTTTCTTGCTTTGTTTATTGGATTCAATACGTTCATACTACTGCATTCGATATTACCATCTATTTAGACGAACTTTAGTGATTATTTTTACTGTGAGAGACATAATAACAAAGTTACCGACCCCAGTTACATATGTTGTTTTGCAATTTCAATGGGTATTGTGCATTTTAATGTTTTTCGTTTTGTAATTTTAACGTCATATGTATTTGTGATTTATTTTTGTAATTTATTGTTAACAAGCACGCAATAAGCCCTTAATATTCACATAATGGGCCATGGTCACTAGCATTAATTTACTAAATTGCCGAAGTTAGGAGTCCGCTCCATAATTGTGTAGCTCCGATATATTTAAGTGAAAACAAGGTGCTTGTAGTAAGTACTTCATATAAAGTGTAAACACGAGTGCTGTGCCCTCTAGTTCGTTAGGCGTACGGCTCTTTATTCTCTGGATGATATAACGCTTGCGTATTCCATCCATTTACAATACTTGATATTATTAGGTTAAGAAATGTAAAGTAATGCCGTATTTGGTAATCATTTTGATACAAGACCCTTAAATATGCTGAATCCTTAAATATTATTCAGACTTATTTTAGCGATTATAGATTATACACACATTCGCTAATAACCGTTTTCAGGAACTTATGAAATTGATCGTATTATTATTAGTCTACCTTACCTCAGAGAAATTAGTTAAATTGACTGCAAATCTATCACATAATATTAGTTCATTTACTTTACTATGATAGTTTTATAAACATTAGAATAACGTCCCAATTTCGCTGAAAAAAAATGTCGGCTGCTTCGTTTGTTAAACGACTTCTAAACATCTATATAATGCAAGTGATTCCAAGTTTGAATTATTTAATTATCAATAAAGCACAAGTACGACCAATGATTAAGTTTCCGAAAATAATAGAACTTAATTATTTAAGAGTTCCCTTAGTCTATAGACTTAATTACGTGCGACGTAATTAAATAATTTTTACGCCTAATGAGCAGATCTGTAACAGTTGAATGTCCGAGAATAAAGAGCATTGCACCAAATCTTATTAGAAAGATTCATCGAGTAATAATCTGCGTTACGGATGTGGAAATTTGAATAGACTTGCAGGAGATGAATTTATATTCAGCGAAGGTTGTAGAAAGATTAGAATGATGTGACCAAAAAAGGCGAATGTAACTAATGCAGTCTCGAAATGTGTCCTAGCATTACGTGAAATAAATGTTTGACCAATCGCCTAAATGTTCTCGACCATAGATTACAAATGACTGTTATACTTGTAAAGAAAAATAATAATCTATATTTTTTTATTTAGCTAATCTGTCGTTAGGGTAATTGAAAATATTTCGTGTTCAAACAATGTTCGGTATAGAAATTATAAAATTAATTGTATTCTAACGCGTTTGTAGAAATATAATATTTGGTGATGTTTACTAAAAAAAACGTACATTAGGAATTTGGATCTAGTGCGAGTGTTACATGTCGGACATCAATTAGATATTATGTCCAATTTTTAATGTCAGTTATTCAATTTTTATCTGAACTGTTTGGGTTTATTATAATGTAGTGCTTAATGTATTCGTAATAGCAAAAAAGAAGGCATGGAGAGGCAACATCGACGTACAAAATAAAATTGATTCGTTAATATGATATAGTGTGTGTATTAATGCTCTTTTGGAAACTATGATATAATAATTGTTATAATAAGGATCAGTTGGATCTGTCATCCATAATAAACGTACTTTTTTTCCCACCGATGCACATTACGAGCGGCTTGATTTGACGACACCAGAATCAGTTAACAGTTATTTTATTATACTAATGGGGTTTCTGTTTTACTAGAGCCGCATAATTAGTTTTGATTTGCTGTTATAATTGTCAAAAATCGTGTCAAAAAACAAGCCATGGGCACAAGCACTTATGATGTATCAGGCTTCGATTTATTTATTTTAAATTTAAACATAATCGTAGCATTCTTCGGTTCCGGTGCCATAATCTAGAATACTATGTTCGAATCATATTTTTTTTAATATTATTATTTGTAGGTTGTAAGTGTAGGTATTAACAGAGAATCTTTATTTAATTTTTATTTACAAATGATTTTTTTTTATTATATGCTTCATATTTTGCACAAATATTTTTTAAGTTAAGTATATATCAAATATATCTGGGTTTAAATTTTGTAAGCAATACTTTTAATTAATTATTGGTTAAATGACAATACATATTAGATTTAGATACGTGTGGTCTAACATAACACGATCAGTTCAATAATGTCCTTATCCGAAAGTCCATATACGCACAAATTACAAACCTAAATAAATTTATCACATCTAACGTGTTTATAAACTCGGCTGTGTGCGAATAATATTTATTATTGACGACCATTACGTATACTAAATCGCCCTTATTACCTGACCTTTGTATTAAGCAAATAATGGTCAAATGTACTGGTATACCATAAGAGACATGTACGCACTTAGAGTGGCACAATATTATTTACAACATTTTTTTCTGAGTGAATCACAGTCTTTTCTATGTATGTATGTGTATTGACGTGGTTTTTATTAATGTATTACTCATTAAAAATTTGAAAAAAAAAAAGATGTTTTATTGCATTTCCAATAACCCTTCACTCTGTGCCTTCCTTGAGCGAACAACACGGACGCAGAGCGGCGCAAGGTGACTCAAATATTGAGGGACGCAGCAATCGGCGATCGTGTCAGCGACAGGCTACGCTCGTGGTCGTTATCGTCGTCTTTTTTTTTTGCGCCCGAAGCAAATATGGGCAACCCTCCGGAAAGCGGGGGAGAGAGGCGGTGAATGCTCATAGCATACCACGCAGCCGGCTGCGTGGTTATGTGGAGACTTTTACCCACTAAACACCGCTTTTATGGATTGGCTTACCGATCTGACGAGAGATCTCTAAGCCGTATACGGACCCTACTTGGCAGAAAGGAGGGCGCATCGTCGTCATCGTCTCAGAGTACATTATATATACCCGTCGTGTTTGTTGTCCGCGATGCGCGACGTAGTTGCCGCTGCGTCAAGGATGGACGTAACAGATTGTTAAATAAAAACTTCAGTTGTGTTTCAAGTATTACAAGTTAGAGTAACAAATGAGCACAAAATCCTGATGGCAAATGGATACTGTTGCCCGAAGACGTCTACCTTTGATTAACAATCAAAATGCAATGATGTTGTGTTATCTCTCAGGACTAGAATAGTTTTTAAAATAATAGTATCTCTAAGGTCGTTAAGCAATATCCCGCGCCGCCGCTGTCGCGTGTACACGTAGCTGGCTCCATTGCGTACAAAATCTGTCGCGGGATCCGTTGTTAAGTCTAGTTTCTGTGAAAAGTCAAAAGGCTATCAGTTAGCACTTTGACTTTTACAACTTCATCGGACTCAAGCCGTTGTTCATCTCATATTTAAAAAATCTTGAACAGACTTATATCCACACATAACAATATTTTATGTGGTAGAGCTATGCTACAGCTATATTAGTAGTATAGTTGATCGTGCTTCAACTGGCTCAGCTCGACCGGGGAAGGACCACGCTCTCACAGAATACTAGCGAAAAACAGCAGCTTAATACTGCTGTGTTTCGTACGGTGAGTGGAGAGAACCGGAGATCTTTATTACTAGAAACGAGACATTCCATCTTAGCCCATACAGGTGACAACTGACAACGCATCTGCATTTTGATTCGTAGTCAAGAATAAATGGAGATAGTTATGCAAACTAGAACCAATCCACAAAACTGGCGAAATTGAGTTATTGGTACCAACAGAATCTACGAATCAACTTGTATATACTCAAAAGAGATCCAAGCTGCTTGAGATAGTTTTTGCTCACATTAGTGCAAGCTGCCAAGGATACCAACCCTAGATAGAGTCTTTTTTTAAACTAAACGGACCTATGTGGCATAGTACCTGTAGATCTTCAGCTTTTTCAATACGCAAAATAGAACCAAGCCACGTGGTTCTCTTAAAAAAAGAAACTGACAAAATTATGTTTCACTTTTTCTTGCTAAAGGGAACCATGATGTATGGTTCTATTTCGTATAAAAAATAAAGCCGCTTATAAATTAACCGAGATACTTAGTTCCTTATAGGTAATTACATTTTGTAAAATCAGTGGTAAAACAAAGAAGGGTCATTCCATGTCAATTCAACACAATTTTAGGAGATTTTCAGAATTGATGTCTCAGATTTTCATGATTTTTTTATGCAGCAATATATCATAGACTTATGAAAAAATACCGAATTTCAGGTATGTAGCACAATTATTTTTGAAGTTATTATTTTTTAAGATTTAAATTTTTACGAAAAAATTTCATGTTTTGGCTCCTTTGGATGCATTAGACTGACAAACATTGATGATATAAACCTGGCATTTTAAAGCTGTTTGGCACTGGTATGATATGCCACAAGATAGAGTTACAATTAAAAAAATTGAAACATTTAAAATTTAAATTTTTTAAAAAGTGGCTATTTTAAAAATTTCAATTGTGTTTTTTTTAAATGTAGTGTATAATGTCTTAAAATACATATAGCAAGAGATACAGGGCTTCAGAAATACACGTTTTGTAAATAATGTGCCAAGTTATTAAAATTTTATTTTTTAATTACAAATTTTGCTATGCTGTGTGCTGGACACTAATACTTTATAGTACCATGTTTGGAAACCTCTCTTTAAAAGAAAACTGAAACTGATTAGACTACAAGTAGAGGGAAATCGCTTTTACTCCGATAAAAAGGGGATTTCCCTCAGGGGAAATTCCTCTTTCACAAGGCGGAAGCGGACACTGTGGATTCCTTTTGCAGATGTGATATGCAAAGTGAACCCCGTCACACAGACTGGCGGAACATACAGTTTACCAGCCAGTGAAGTGAACAAATGTGTGGATAGCTTCCAACGATTGAAGTCTCGAATTAACAAATTTGAAGGGTCCACTGCAATAATGATGAATGTCCAAAGTTTTTTGTAATTATAAGTAAGTAGGTTATTCGGACACTTGATATATGCAGTTAATAATCTCGTTTACAGACTCGGCAATATCGCTTACAGTCGCTAGATAAATACGTTTTAAATAATTGTATACACGGCTAGAACGCTCAGCGTCACACGTGTTCACGGCAATAATGATAAATGTCCATGGCCTCGCAATGCCCGCCATCTTGTAAATTGTTTTGTCAGTCTCGATACGTCTGGCGTTGTGTTAGGTTATGTTTAACGTGTTCAAGTAATTTCTTTCTTAAAATTATGGCTGAAAGCAACGAAACGACTATAAATACGAAGAAAAGAAAACGCACAGGCAGAATGAGTGATGTATTAAAGAAACTTCGACTTCAGAATCACGAACTTGGTGATGACTGCAAATGTGATCGTTTTAAATGTTTTGAATTGACAAGTAAGGACCAGAGGACAAGAATAATAAGTCAATTTAATAGTTTCGCCACCAGGTTATGACCAAGATAATTATTTAAGCGGGCTTATAACCGTACTAATGTAAAACGTCGTCGTCCGCGATTAGGTGAAGAAAATGCGAAATTACACAATAAATCATATTCATACAAGATTCTTATGATTGCCGATGATACTTACGAGATACCAGTGTGTAGAAAAGCGTTTTTATCCTTACATGGTATCACTGGAAGAAGACTGCAGTTTATTCAGAAATCACTGACGGAGCATGGTGTTGTCCAAAAAGATAAACGGGGTACACTTGTGAAAACACAGCTTCCTAAAGAAACTACTGATTTAATGTACAAGCAAATCGACACTCTTAAATCAGTTAATGGTAAAAAAGGCCACTACAATTTACATGAGAGTAAAAAAATATATCTGTCAGACGAGTTAAACTTGTCTAAGATTCACAAAATGTTTAACGAAAATCATCCAAATAACAAAGTATCATACGAAACATATCGTAATTTTTTCAATAAAAATTTTAACATATCATTCGGTTACCCAAGGATGGACACATGTTCGATTTGCGATGAATTTCAAGCAGAGAAAAAACACTTTGAAATTAAAATTGCTTCTCTTTCTAATGGTCATGAAAAATCTCAGATTTTGTCTCAACTTAGAAAGCTGGAAATTGAGAACCTAGCACACAAAAAGAGAGCTGAAATATTTTATGATAAAAAGAGAAAAGCTCGTTTGAGGGCTAGGCAGGATGACAACAATCGCGATAGCAATGGATTTCTCAAAAAATCTTCCTGTGCCAAACATAACTACCAACGACGTTTATTATAAAAGGCAGTTTGTTACTTTATGTTTAATGTTCATGTCCTTGCTGATTCCTCATCTTATTTCTATGCATACGATTGAGAGTATTGGAAAAAAAAGGATCGGACGATGTGGCTTCTCATCTCTTTCATTTTATATGCCACATAAGCAGGGCAAGACTCTTACAATTTTCTGTGACTCATGTGGCGGTCAAAATAAAAATTACACCATTTTTAGAATGCTACACTACATGGTTCACTGTTGCAATCGCTTAGAATCTGTCACAGTAATATTTCCGATTAGAGGTCACTCCTATATGGAATGCGACCGAAACATGGCCTTTATAAATCAAAAGGCTAGGGCTGAACTCCCTGAACAATGGGCTGAACACGTACGTGGAGCTCGACAGAGACCAAAACCTTTCAATGTCATTGAATGTTCACAAGATGCATTTAAGGGCTGGACTGCATTTCTAAAACCGTTTTACAAAAAAGCTTGTCCATTTCCCATAAGACCTGTACGTGAATTCGAGTCCAAAAAGAACATCCACGGCTCATGTTTCACAGGAATTTTAGTAATAGTCAATGGGAATCAAGTGTGGTTAACACACCAGCTTCTTTTCGATCTACAAAGGCAGGTATTCATGAGGGGGAATTTAAATTACCTGATTTAGCTTATCAAGACAAGCTGACTATATCAACAGCGAAATATAACGACTTGCAGTTCCTGAAAAAGTTCTGTAGGCCTGAAGCAAAACGTTATTACAATTAACTTCGTCATGCTGTAAATATAAAAGAACCAGAAGATAACTAAACCGTCTTTGGACAACTATCTACTACTACTAGTGATCATTATAGTCCTGATTTTTGAAGACTTACTTAAGATAATATGATTTTTATTTAGTTTATAATACCCATATAATGATTATTTGCCAAAGTAATAATATTATAAAACCTATGCTTTAACTAAAATTAAAATTATTTTCTTATCTTTAAGTCTGAGTTTTTTTCACCGTTTATAAAATTAAAATTCAAAATTTCAAAACAAAGAAAAAAGGACATTCATCATTGTTGCAGTGGACCCTTCATTTGTTATATTGATTTGTTTATTATATTTTTTCAATCTGGCTGCGATCCTTAGAATCTGGCCACAGTTTCTTGCCTAATGATTCCGATTTTGGTCGAATCGAATGTGCTCTAAAATTGCAGCAAAGAATATACACGCCGTAAGACTACATGTGAATAATGCAGACATTCAAAAAGAATAAACCAATGCAAGTGCATAGAATGACTAAAGAAGACTTTTCTCAAGTGTTAACCTGGAAAAGAGAATAACTAACAGAAAAAAGCCACTGATGGATCAAAAGTATCTCGGCTTAAAACAAAAGAGATAATGATCGGGAAGAAGATGAGTTTTCGATTTTTATGAGATCTGATTTAGATGCTGACTATGTAGAAGTAAATTTAAAGAAAAATTTACGAGGAAATACAGTTTCATCAACCTAAGAACTAATGGATCCGCTTTGGCCTAATGGTAAGCCAATCCCCGAAGCGAAGTTAAGTGACTTTAAAAGCTTGTTGCATTTTATTCCTGAAGATGAGCAAGACTTTTACAAACAATTAACGGGAGTTGTTACTGTTGAAGACGACATAGACGGGTTTTCTGGTGTGTGTCAGTGGATTTTGAGGTAGAAGTGGATGATGACGATTAGGTAATGCAGGATGAAGATCAATACCAGCGCTTTGCTTATGTAAGTCGTTACAGGTACAATTTTAATGTGTTAAACTAGTATGTATGTTTATGTCATGTATCATATGTATGTTATGTATTAAGTCAATAAAAATGTGATTAAAATATAAGTATTTTAAAATTATTTAAAGAAATGTACCTACTCAAAAAACCTTAACATATTGTAATAAAGAACCAACCCACAAAACAGTAATTTTGCATTAAGGAACCATCAGCTTTTTGATCAAAAACAGATAAGAAATCTGACTAAAATCCAAATAATTTAATTGTCCTATATTGTCATCAATACTAACCTTAACTTTGTAAAGTTGTTTGTTTCAAGTAACTTACCTATTTATTTCTACACACTTTAGAAACAAAAATCTAATTATCTCTAAAGTCTCTGTTTGTGGGTTGGATCTAGTTTGCATAACTATGTCCAAATGTAGATGACTCTGCTAGTTTGTCCTATAAAAAAATCCACTCGCCATATCATAACAAAACAAAATTGGATAGGCAGCAACGTTTTCTTAATAATGACTAAAAATAAAAACACTGCGTTTGCTAACTCGCTTACCAAGCGTGGCAACTTTGTCAATTATGTTATTTAACTATGAGGCAATCTATGGGGGAGGTCTATGTTCAGCAGTGGACTTTAATAGGATGTAACGGTAACAGTAATAACACTGTATCGGCCTCTATCTCTCAATCTAAATCCCTACAAATCTTTGTTCTGTTCTGGGTGTAATTTATCTATAATATTTATTATTAAAATATATAAGTATTTTATCAGTTGTCAGTACCCATAACACAAGCTCTTGCTTCTAGATGGCTTGTATAGTGTAATATTATATATTTAACTGGATATAGGTATTTTCAAGAAGCCGTTTTACCCAAACTAGACAGACAATACTGCTAATATAACCTTTAGTTAGAGGAATTGGATTCGGTTCGAGTATAATAAAAAATATGAATACGTTTAATTTGCCAAAACAGAAATAAAATTTTATTAAACAACACTTACGTACTTGAACGATTTTTGAAAACTTGAAAATTCTCTTTGTGCCGTATATACCTTTTCGAATATCAAATATTTGTATGTTTGTTTTACGATGATATTAGAGCAAAGTCAAATTTGCAAGAGTTCAATATTGAGGTACTTACTGATTTTATATAACGAGTGCTGGCGTGTAAGTTAGAAGCAGATCATTTACCTTCTAAAATGGGAGAGAATGTCAACTTGCCAACCTCATTGTAAACCTGATTCCCAGATCAAAAAAGTTATAGACGGACTGTAGGTGTGTTCATTCCTAGTCTAAACCAAGTCAAAACCATGCTCAACATATTATAGTATGTACAAAAATACTACAATACGTTGTACCCTATCGCACACATACAACTAAAAATGTTTGAGAGGTTGCAAACTTTCAAATGTTTATTTCCATATTCTAGCAGTGGGCTTTTATGTTTAAAAATATATGTAAGTTGTATGCGTGTGTGCGTGTCAAAAAGTTTGCCAATTTTCGGCGTCACTTAAAATGTACGCTCCGTATATCATTGTTTGCTTGAGATAATGTTTTCTTCCTACTTGATACTAATGTAGTGTACTCGTAAATTAGTTACCCGTTATTTAGCGCTGTAATAAAACGCTACGGAGAAGGTACCGAAGAATTCCAGCCGAACCAAGTCACGAGCCAGGATAAATAGTTCTGTGATAATAGGAAACAAGAGCAATATATTTAGTAGAGTATATAACAACTGATAAACGCACTGATACAGGGCATAGGTCCAATTTTATTTGTAAGATGATATGGATATTATCGTACAGATAAGAGTTCGCGACGATGCACAAATGTATTCAAATTTCAAACATTTATCCCATATTCAGTTGTTAGTTCAAATGCAATAACATGATTTACTCGGTAACTTTTTAATTAATATGGTCATTCTATGCGACCAGACTAAAGGAGTACTTAATTCCCTCTTCCTCCAATTTTCTCTTTAAGTTCTGTAAGTAAAAATTGCTTTTCACTATAGAATAAAAATGGTTTTTTTACTATAGAATAGTGGACAAACGAGCATGCGGCTCATCTGATAATAAGTGAACAACTGCAAAACCAGGGAATCGCAGGTGCGTTGCCGGCCCTTTAGAAAGGAGTAAGCTCTTTTCTTGCAGGTCCTTAAGCCGTATCAGTCCGGAAAAATATCCGACGGTAAACGATTCCACAGAGGGGTCGTACGAGGAAGAAAACTCCTAGTGAAACAGGACAAAGACGAGGTAAGAAGCATTCACATAATGTGGATGGTATCGCGAATTTTGTCGCGACGTGTGTTCGTGGAATTTGGCGGCTGGGATTAATCTGAACAATTCCTCAGAGCACTCCCCGTGGTATAGGTACGTGATAGAAGAGGCAAAGGGATGCAACATTTCTTCGCAGCGCCAGTGAATCGAGCCGATCGGAGAGGACTCGGTCATCGACGATTCGAGACGCTCTGCACTGGAATCGATCAAGTGGAAGGAGCTGGAACTGAGGAACTTTGGTCCAGAGATGGGAACAGTGTTCCAGGTAACGCCGAACCTGCGCCTTATTGCAGGCGGTGTGCCGGCATGAAATAACGTCCCGCTCTATAGCTTTTTAGAGGCCAATTTGGCATTCTCATCCAAGTGACCACGAAATTGTACATCGTTCGATATGTCGACGCCGAGCATTCCGGTAATGGCTGAGGCAACAAAGGAAGTGTCTTGAAACTGAGGAGATACGACAAAGGAGTTCTTTTTAGTGGTAAACGAGCAAACTTGTGTATTCTGGAGATTGAACTGGACTAGATTCAGTCGCCCCCAATCCGAGACTTTGTTCAGAAAAGACTCGACTTCAAGACACAAGTTTGTTCCGGTACTCGGCGATGTTCTCCCGAAAAATATTGGCACGGCCGGGTTAATAGAGTATCGCCAGTAATGTTATCCGCATATCAATGAACGTTAGGTACCGTTTGGAAACATATTATTGATATGCAGAAGAAACAGCACCGGTGAGCATGCGACCTTGTTAAACACCAAACTTAATAGGTTTGTAACTGGAGCATGCACCGTCTATCTTGATGCGTCGATTGATGCATTTTCTCGGGAAGCCCAAAAGATGAAAGCTCCGAAACCGACTCCATTATTTACGAGAACAAGGTGATAGCGATAGGCCTGTAATTGGACGGATCAGAGCGGTAACCTTTTTTAGTGATCGGGTGCACGAAAGCTGTCTTTAACGAATTTGGGACTGCAACTAGGGAGAAAGAGTACCGGTAAGACGCGTTAGAACTGGTGCAAACTCCGGAGCACACGTCTTCAGCACAATTAGAGGGATTCCGTCATGCACATTCAACTTATTGACGTCCGGAGAGAAGAGTGTTTTAAGAACCGAGCGCTCCATAATCCGCACATCCGGCACGAAGCACTCACACCGCAGCATTGTCGGCGGTGTATTCCGCCCGTCATCGACAGTCGAGTTGGACGCAAAAAAGAGTGCCTAACAGATCGTCTTTCTCATTTGCAGCATGGGCCAGTGAGTCGTGCTTCCTGTGAGAGATGGGAGAGATGGCTGGCAAAAGACCCTTTAGGTAGCCTTGGCGGGAGACCAGAATGCACCAGTTTCCAGACCTGTTTCTTGCCAATTCTGCCTATGTGCTCTGACTTTGCTTTAGCAATTACTCTTTTATAGGACCTGCAGGTGGAATTATACTTCTTTTATGCGCGCTGGTGTTTACTCGTACATTCCGGGACGTTAATGTGTCAGTCCAGGCCGTATAGCACTCCTGCTTATAGCGTGATGCTTTTTTACAAGAGCGACCAAACCAAGGTTGGGATCTGCCTCCCATGGGCACCAGAAAAGGAATAAAAAGTCCCATACCTTGAAGTACTACATCAACGACAAAATTAGAAACAACGTTGGGATCGTCGAGTAGTCGATCAACGGTAGGATGCAAAGAACGACTGCATCCTATCCTAATCGTTCGACCAATAGTACCAGACACGACGGCAATTCTGCAACCGCTATGTTAACGTGAATGGTACCAAACTCCGGACTAGACAATGGTCCGAAAAGGCAAGAGGGGCGTCGACGAAGACCCGAAACCCGTCCTGAGAGGCCAGCAGAAGGTCCAACAGGGAAGGTACATGATCCTCCACATCTGGAACTCGCGTAGGTATAGAAACCAGTTGTGTCAGACTATATCCATATGCCAGGGCAGTCATAAACAGACCTCCCCGCATGATAGGTTAAACGTGAACCAAGTCATTCGGCTGTAGCAAGGAATCTGTAGCCATTCGGACGTGGTCGATGAGTCGGTCTGTTTCGGCATTACCGCAATGGGACTTATAGACACGCGTAGACGCGCGGATGTGCGTCGCTGTCTACATGTAGTCAAAGGATGGACAGGTCCGAACCTTCAAGACTGTCGTGGCCTCGAGAAAAGATGTCCTCTCTAACGTACTGTCTCTGAGGCACAAACGATTGCTCCAATTTACACCCCAGGTGGGAGAGATACGAAGTATCAGTCAGAAAGAGCAAGCCCGGATGTCTCCAGATGATAGTTTTTTTTATAGCAACGGGTGACAAACGAGCACACAGTCTACCTGATGGTAAATGGATGCTGTGGCCCATAAACACATTTAATTTTGTCCTCAATTAAGAATCAAAATGCAAATGCGTTGTCACCCCTGTTTCGATTCCAGAAAAAGGGTCTCCGGTTCTATACACTCACCATACGAGTCACAGCAGCACCACGCTGCCATTTTACGCTGGTATTCCGTGAGAGCGTGGTCCTGCCCCGATCGAGCTGACCCATTCATGTTACAACTATAATATAGCTGCAGCTGGCTCTACCACGTTAAAAAAGGGGACGGTGGTAAGCTTCACTTGTCACTAGGTGTTGCAGAAATCAACGGATAGTGGCAGGGATCGCCTTGGTGTTATTGCTCAGCTTGCCCCGAGCAGTTTTTGTCTTGAGCGGAATTTGCATTTTCACATTGTATAAGTATTTACTTACGTACCTAGATATACGTGTCTTTTGTAATTAAAATATCTTAAGTTATAATAACACAAAATACTGAAATTAAGTTTGTTTACTAACAAGATTTTTACAAGCATTGCGATTCCCGATGAATGACCTTGCAAGTTGCATGCGGTGGGCATCACAGAACTCACATAGGTGCGAAAATATGGTCAGTCGATCATAGTCAAAATAGGTACTTCACATAAGTGACTTAATTACCATTTCGCAATGTATTTTTTACTCTTTACTTGGCCATTAGTAACCACGGAAAGTCCGCCGTGATGTATGAAAGGGAAAACAAGCAAAGTAAAATTTTATTTCGCTTGCGTGCGCGATTTATCTAATTAATAATAATAATTTATATTATTATTGATTAGCTATTAAACGTCGGCAAGCAGTCAACATCAAAGGAGTACAACTTGTGTACGTTGTACTATTATTGTGCTACTACTAACTAGTAGTTTTTTAAATTGATTTCATCTAAAAATACAATAAAACAAACTTAGTTTATAGAAACATTTTATTTATATTAATGTGCAGACATAAATTATACTTATCAGGACAATTAACTTTAATGATATGATTATTTCAAAATGAGAAAATAAGCTACATTTTCGTCTAAAGAACGAAGATGAGATCAACTACATACAACGTTCTGGGATTTGATTGATAGATCGATCAACAAATGGCATATTTTTAAGTGTATTCTCGTTCACTGGGCGCGGTATCTATCTATACGTAATAATTCTTGTTCAAATTCATCGCAGCAACGAAACAATTAAGCCGCCATATATCTGAAAAGTAATAAAAGATCATAATTAGTCCCTTATAACCAAATATATGTCTAAAGGTGAAGAAATATAGATTAGTACAGGTAACTACATGTTTCATCGAAAATTGATATGAATGAATTTGTGTGTAATACCCATAAGTTCAAGTGAATTAGTTCAATCGCTGAACTTTTCTTTTTAGTGGAACTTTTTTTCTCAGTAGTTCAACTTAATATACTTTTGAGAGTTGAACTACTACAACTTTTTCACATTATCTGGGACATAGAACTAAAGGTTAGCTCACGTTAGACAGAGTCGGGTCCGAGCCGAGTGTCGGCCGTAGCACGGTAACCGAGCCGGTCCCGTGCCTGAAATTACAGAGACGGGCCTCGACCGAGCAATTACCGTTGCGCCGTGATGCAGTATACCCGTCCGAGCAAAAATAGTGTTATAACTAGACTACGATAATGTTGAAGTTTGACGATCTGGAATTAGCGGCCATTGCGATCGCTCTAGACGATGAAGAATCTGATAAATCTTCAACTACAAGCCGGGACCGAGTTGTTGCCGAGCGTTGTCCGTTGCTCGGCTGTCACTTGGTTTCCGCTCGGTATGGCGCGAGTGTATCCATACAAAATATATGTAATATTAGTTGACCGTGCTAAGGCCGACACGGCTCGAACCCGACACGGTCTAGTGTGAGTTAACCTTTTAACCTTGCTCTTTAGGGAAAAGTGCGAATAAATTACTACTCTGTGTAAAAAGTATCGGGAATATGTCAATAAAAAGACCCGCGTAAAAGAGGTCGTTCTAATTTTTTTACTGCATGTTGGTAGCACTGTACTGATTTAGCGCGCAAAGTTTGAGCGGGATCTGTCATTTAATTTGTTTTAAACTACACTTTTTGTTGGTCATAGTTTAGAGTTCTCGGCGATTTTTACAATGGAAAATATTGTTGAACAAAGAGTGTGCCTTAAATTTTGTGTTTCGAATGATATTTCATGTCGTGTATCACTAAAAATGTTGCGAAATACCTACGGCGAATCGTGTATATCGAAAACAAGGGCTTATGAATGGTATAAGGCTTTTAAAGAAGGCCGAGAAGTAGTAGTAGACTTGCCTCGTTCTGGTAGACCTTCAACCGCTACGACCAAAGAAAACATCGACAAAATCAAGAAGCTAGTGCTCGAAAATCGACGTATGAGTCTGAGAGAGTTGGCTAGTGAGGTGAACATATCTTTTAAGTCCGTCCACAACATTCTCATTGACATTTTAGGCATGAAACGCGTCGCCGCTCGACTAGTTCCAAAAGAGCTCAATTTTGTTCAAAGAGCGCAGCGAAAGCATGTCGCTGAAGACATGGTTTCCCGAGCTCCTATGGATCCGACCTTTATGAAACATATAATAACTGGCGACGAGACATGGGTTTATGAGTACGACATGCAAACAAGCCAACAGTCTTCAGAATGGCGTCTCGAAAACGAGCCGAAACCCAAACAACCGCGGCAAAGTCGCTCCAAAATCAAGGTGATGCTGACAGTTTTTTTTTTTGACTACGTGGTGTGGTTCACTCCGAATTCCTTCCAAAGGGAGAAACAGTGAATAAAGAATATTATTAAGGTGTCATGAAGCGTTTGCCTGAGAGTATCCGCCGAAAACGTCCAGATTTGTGGCAACACAACTCATGGATGCTGCACCATGATAATGCACCATCACACACAGCCATTATAGTGAAAGAGTTTTTAGCGAAAAATTCAACAAAAGCTCTCGACCAAGCACCGTATTCACCTGATATGGCTCCGTCTGACTTTTTTTTATTTCCCAAGTTAAAATTACCACTTCGAGGAAAACGTTTTGAGTCGACAGAAGCCATAACAAAAAATTCGCTGAATGAGCTAAAGGCCATACCGCAAATAGCCTATGAAAAATGTATGGAAGACTGGGTGAAGCGTTGGAGATGTTGTATTGCAAGCGATGGGGCCTACTTTGAAGGCGATAAAATAAATTTAGATGAATAATTTGTATTTTTTGTTTTATTGACAAATTCCCGATATTTAGTACACAGAAGGTATATGTTATAGAAGTGTCCGTATATTTTGCATCGTAATTTATTCAACTGTAAATAATATATTTCCCAAAATAACGTTCAATGAAAGGTACCTAGATAAAAATAATCACAACAAACAATATACATTCAATTATATAACATATAGATATATAACAACAATAATAAATATAAATATAATTACCTACATACAACAAACATTTCATTTTATGATTAAATTTAATCAGGTGGGGTAATTTCGCTCATGTCACATTAGTTGAATGATTGAACTAACTCAGTTGAACTAGTGGGAACTCAACCATTAAACATATATTAAAAACTTCTTAGATTGTGTTTTGACAATAAAAATTATTTACTAAATATCGTAAAAGCCAACTGGACAACTTATGGATTCCGAAAGATGACTGAATATATATGTCGAAAATATCTTATGTGAAATGTTTAAACCGGAAGCGAAGAACATAGGTATTATTGATGTATTCACGACAAGTTTTTGATATTAAAGAAGATACTCATCAGTGGACTATTTGCGGGCTGACAAGGAAATACAGATATGCTACATGTTTGTTCTTAAAATATGTGTGTACTACTTTTAAGTGACACATTTTGCTTGTTTTCTCACAAGAGGACTGTCGTAATCGGTATTAAGACAACTTTTTGACGAAGAATCTATGGATTAATTTTTAACTTAATATCTTTGTAATTTAAAATGCTGATTTATCACAAAACAACAAAAGAAAACCACCACGTCTGCAAAAAGATTCCTTGTCCTAACCTTCGAAAAAATAATGGGTACATATTATATCGGCTTGTATCTTTAAGCATTGTATCCCAAGATAATAACAGTCCGCAAGGCCCTTTTTTAATAATAGACGCAATAATATTTAATGAGAGCTCACATGACAGAAAGTGTTTCAGTCTAATTTTACGTATGGAAGAAATACCTATACGTATAAAAAAGTACAATTTCATAACCTTATGCATAATATTAAATGCGAAAGAAATGGAAATCAATTATTAAGAAAATGATTATTATGACCAAAAAGCAGATGGAATTACAAAAAGCGAACAGTATAACAGAGAGACAGTAAAAAGCGATGCAAGTTACAATTGATAAATCAGGTCGCCAAATCCAATAATAAATTCTCAGAAAAACTCCTGGAATTGCTTAACATTATGTCAAGGACGCAAAGCGTAGTAGACTAGACGCTTTCACTGAGCTTTGGTTATGTTAATAAAAGTATATGTCTTAATATATAAAAGTCTCGTGTCACTCTCGTGTCACGAAGTTCTTTCAAACTAATCTTCGAAACCGCCTAATCGATTTTAATAAAATTTTGTACATAAACTTGTTTTGCTTGCTCCAATTTGAGTGATAGGTTAATTTTCATCCCGATAAGTGACCCCCCAATATTTTTTAATGCGAATTTAAGAATTTTTATAAGACAGTGTCGTCGGAAAGGGCAGTAGGCTATAGTAATATGCAGGATTATTTTGTAATAACCGGCCAAATTTACAAAGATTCAGAATAAGTAATACAGGCAAATGGTGAAGAAATTATTAATAAAAAAATCTCTAACGTTCTGTCCTTTTTATCTTTTAATTTCACAATACGTGGTAATGCATTATTTTAACTGATTTCACTGCGCACAATACACCTTCGTAGGGCCGATCGGTACAAAAAGTTGTTTTCCATAAACCACATTCAATTTGGGATAATTACAAATAAAAGTAGAAGCCTTATTTACTCGTATCTTCAAAAACTACAATAACAGTATATCATTATTTATACTATTTTGACTTAAGTTTAAAGTTTGGCTACTCTGAAAACTTTACGAGTACGCTGTATATATTTACGTCGGACATAATAAGTCATAAACCACCTACATAAGCATACGTACACCTATAACGTGCTCAGTTTGTTCCTTTAAAATTACTTTTAATTTTAACAATAGCTGTTACTATTTTGATTGAGATTGGAGCGAAAATAGAAAACAAAGTTCTAAAAAAAATATGCAAGCAAAAATCAAAATCACTTGATTTTATCTATTAGCATAACCATGTAGACACCAACCCCTTGAATTGCCACCAAATATAAAATAAACATGATAATTTTATTAACAATTTTATAAATTCAGTTTTACATAATATGTAGTTCTTTAATTATATACCTGTCGTAAAATCAAAGGTACACTAATTATGATTTATACCATTTTGTTACAATAACTTAACATTTTTAGTATGTTTATTTTACTGTAGTAACAGTAAAACTGAAAATTTTATTTTTAAATGATATTTTTTGTGATTAACAATAATGCGTAAAATTTATTAAAACGTCAAAAAGCAAAACAGAAATTCCAATGAACCATTACCACTAATATTAGTTTAAATGCTTTAAGCCCTTATGAAAATTTTATTAGAAAACAAATGGCTTGTCTTGCCAAACCCTTCACCATAAAAAATACTTTCGTACAAAGTTTAACTAACCTCCTATTTTAAAAGTTGATTTCCCATCCAGACGCGGAGAACCATACTGGAAGATTTAACATGCTATATTTACCATAAAGGATAATTAAAAAAATTAAATAAACAATTATTGTAACGAATATATAGTTTAATTTCTCATAATTTATTTGTCAATAATAACAGCTATTAAAATTTACTTTAAACTCAACGTAATTCGCTTAGAAATTCGATATTCCTTATATCAGTTATAAGAAGAGAGTTAATGAGTGGCAGCACAAGATATTTGTATGCCGCAAGTTATTTTTTAAAATATAAAATAGTTTTTTAATGATATTTAAAAATATTAAACATTGAAAATGTAATTTTGGATAACGATGAATAATAATATAAAGTACCGCATATAAATTTACATCAAATAGCTTGATAAAATATCTCAATACCTATCTCATTTGATTTTCAAACAAATAGCTTAAAATTATTTAAAAAAAATGTA